TGTGTGTGTGTGTGTGTGTGTGTGTGTGTGTGCCTGCCTGCCTACATAATTATACACGCACATACATTTACATTATACACAGACAGAGAAAGGAGTTGGCGCATTTATATCACCGACGTAACGCTTTTGTAAAGACAAGCCCACACACACCAAAGAGAAAAGCAAGGGGGGAAAAACACTCGAATAAAACGTACAAACAAAATGGGTTGCTATGGTCGACCTAAAAGATAAGAAAACCAGAGCAGAGAAGACAGGTAATGAGGTGGAGGGCACAAGTAGAAGGGGGGGTATCGCGTTCTGGAACCCGCGACAAGGAGAATCACAAGAGAAGAGGAAGAGACAAGTAGGACGGCAGGAGAGGAAGCGTGTAGTATGTTCCACGTGCCAACAACCTCTAAAGATATTTCTGACCTATATGCAAAATCGGAAAGGTACGTGGCGTCTTTCAGGTGAAAAGAAACGCTGAACACACTTGATTAACGGAGCTGACAAAGGAACAGAATCATAAGGGACGGAATTTTTTTATTTATTTTTTTTTTTTTTTTTTGGGGGGGGGGGGTGCACCGGCGCCAGTGAGAGCCAATTTGGGTTACCTAGTTGGCCAATTTCGTTCCCCCAAAAAAAATCGAACCAACAACGCCACTAACTAATCTAAATAATGCAATGCAGCACATCTTCCAGAATGTATTTAGAAGATGTGAGTAATGAAGCGAGGGGTTCAGGTGTCGGTAGTCTAGTGGTTAAGTTACCGGGCTCGTAATCGTGAGGATGCCGGTTTAAGGGGTTCGAGGCTCCGCGGTTCGACGGACATTGTGTCCTTCACGAGAGCACGTTACACGATTGTTCTCATTTTGCCGAAGTCCTACCGAAGATTGAACGTTAAATTCAGATGCCCCGCTTCTTAAATAACTCTACACCTTTGCAACAGGCGTTAACCCAATACAATTTCGTATTTCAGGCAAAGCCAAGAAGGGTTATGTAGATACAGACGACATGCTGAAGACAATGCAGGTCCACAAACAGCAGTACGATGCGGGGCTGGTCAATCTACATAGTATAGTCCTGCCTTTCACTCGCCCGTATGCCGTATGTAAAGAATTAGGCATGATCTTTGTCATTATTTACATTCTGGCCGCTCTACCCTTATTATCTCGCTTAAATAAGAAAGAAGCGTCCACACACGCATACAATAAATATGCATGTTGTACGGAGTGAGTAAAGAAATGAAAATTAAGAATGAGTAATTTTCAAGGTAAATTAGATGTCAATGACGACACAGCTCGCTAGTTGAGTGTTTCGGCCTCGACCTAATTGCACATATTATTTGGCGCATTTTTCACCTCGTGAATTTCATTAGCGGCGTCAAAGATGCTACACTACAAGTTGGATGACTCTCAAGAAAAAGCTCCCTCGGCGATTAACTTCGCCACCAGCGGCAATAAAAACAATTTTGTTTCTTTTAAACACAAACTTTTTTAAAAACATTCTTTGTTTTTACTCTTTGTACGCAAATTAAACCATGTAGCGTGCAATGATAGATATGCCTTCTTGTGACAAGCAACACTTTTCAACACTAGCTCATTGGAGGAATTACCCATTAAGTAGGATACAATATTCGGCAACATTCATTTTGTTCTTGAAAGAAAAAGAAGAAACTGCACTCTCCTTTTCGTTGTATAAATACGCTATAATATAAACCGCAGGAACTGGCAAACACGACAGGTCTGACAAAGTTGGTGCCAACCGTATATCATGCCAAAATCCCCC